GGCTGCACTTGAAACGTTTAACAAGGTCACCCGCGTATCAGTTCCTGGTGGATGAATGGGTTCTGTTTCTAATTCACGTGTCTCAGATGAGATTTCCAAGTATGCATCCATGTCCTGCAAAGAGTTTAGGCTTTGTCCTGATAAAACTGTGCCACACAGACAAATGAACATGATACATGTCCTCAGCATCTGCATGGCTGGATATTCACTCAATTTAGGCTGCTTCAGTTAGTGAGAGAAGTCCAAAATGTTTAGATGTTCAAGGCTGAACTGAGGACGAAACAAATCCACGGAAAGTGCAGACAGTTATGCCCAAGGATAGAAACTCTGAGTTGCAGTCAAATGAGAGGATACATCTCGAGAAAGCCCTAGAATTTGGGATTACTTGCAGTCTCTCCGTTGTACTAAACAATATTGCACTTGCCCCCGACTCAGAGTGAATGTTGAAATGAAGAAAGAGCAAGAGGTTGGGAATAAGTATCTAGGAGGCGGAGAGGTAAAAAAAATAAACTCTCACATTGTTAATAAAGGCCCTAGTTCATAGTACCATGAAATAAACAGACCCGCCTATCGTGCTCCTCCTTGTCTCCTTACCCTTTCATAACTGTCTGCTAACAGGGTGGAAGGCAGATATTTGTGGAGGACATGAGAGACAGACAGGGAGCAAAAGATAGTAACTGGAACACAATAAGTTTCATACGCCTGTGATAGATTCTAGGTGAAGACAATTTGTGATCCACTGTCAGTTGTGTGTTTTTCTCTCTGACTGGATCAGACTGATCTTGGACATTTTCCAACAAGAGACAAGGTTGGTAGACAGTTCAGGTCGGAGACAACCTCGTTTGGCCGAACTCCAGTAGCATCTATGTATGAAAACCAACAGGACCACTGAGAAATGAACAATGAGCCTGTCTTTACATTCTGTACATACATACTGTCTGGATACACAGACACTGTTACGATTACATGTGTAGTCTGGGGTGTGTAAGCAGCAGACTCACTGCTCAGCTAAGCAGGTGCCACTGGCTGGAGTGTTGAGCCAAACTGGGATTTTCACTGTGGGGTGAAACCCCTCTTTATTTGCTCAGTAACCACACATACACACACTAAATCTGTCAACATGTGTGTGCATGTTGTCATGTTCCAGACAACAGCGTCTGTGATTAACAAGATCCACTGATGTGATCGTTTCTGATCAAACGTATGTATTAATTGTTGGATGGTTTTGTTGTTTTGATGCTTAGCTGATGAGACGGACCAGCAGTAGAATCCAGACATATTCCAAATGGCACGTCGGACAACTTAACACTAAACACTGAAACACGGGTACTGAGGTCTTCTTCCAAGATAAACAGTGATGTGTCCAAAGACTATTCATTTAAATCTTGACAGGAACATGCAGTAATCCACTGACTGACTGCATTCATCCCCTACCAGAACCGCAGTCTAACAAATCAACTATTTCCACTGCAGAGAACGGTGAAGCAGCTTAATATTCATCCAACATAAATAACCCAGTCACTAGTTAGGAAAAAACTCATTCACTTTTTACCATCTCTTCTGAGCTGTCTCTGCCGTCGTAGCACAATTTTGCTACTTTGTTTTCGCACTCAGAATAGGAGTCCTACACAGTCTGACCACTGCCAGCTCTACAACATGTGGCACATCTGTTAAGCAACATGTAGCAAATATTCAATTGAAGCACCTCTGAGACTGTTCTTTGTTGGTACAGTTATACACAATGAATATTTGTACCAAATTTCACAGAACTACATTTGAAAAGCATCAAGACATTTCACTGAAAACCAAAGATGTTAACACTTGTAATAGTGCTAGAGTCAAAGTCTTGTTGTCGGAGAACGGCTCTACAAAAATTGGTGCCAAACCATTTAGTAGGAGTTGAGAGATTTTACTGGTCATTGGAAAATTATGCCTGCTGATTGGGCTAGAACAAAAGGTCAGGGGATAACATCCTTTTGGGTATTATAAAAGGAAT